GGCCTCCCAGAGTGCTAGGATTACAGGCGTGAGCCACCGCTCTCGGCCAAAAAGTTCTTAAAGTTTTAAACAAATGGTTGAAATTTGGTGTTTGTATTTTGATCCAATTTAGGATATAGAAATGAAGTAGTCTATAGGGAACACAAGAATTTAAACTGGTAATTGTGGGGGGGAAGACCCACAACTATTCTGAATTGCTAGTCTGTTCTTATTAGATATCCTTTGAAACTGAATGACTTAAAATAACTTCAAACTTACAGAAAAGTTTTAATAACAATAGAGAGAACCTAACATTTTGCTAAATTTGTTTTATTATCTCTTTCTCTGTGCATCTTATGTTTTCTTAACTATTTCCAAGTAGGTTTACGTGGTAACACTTGAGCTTGTATTTCCTAGGTACAAAGGTATCCTCTTCTGTAGCTACAGCACATTTATCAAATAGGAGAAATTTAACAGTGATACAATACTTTAATCTATAGTCCATATTCTGATTTTTTCATCTGTTCCAATATTGTAATGTCTTTTATCATATTTGTTTTTCTCAGTACAGGATCCAGTCCAGGATCATTCACTGTGTTTAGTTGTTATGTCTCTTAGTCTCCTTTCATTTGTAACATATCCTCAGCCTTTCTCTGTGTTTTATGACATTGTCATTTATAAAGAGTACAGGCCAGTTACTTTATGAAATATTCTTCAGTTTGAGTTTCTGATAGGTCCTTATGATGAGATTCAGGTGATACATTCCTGGCTGGAACATTTTATTAATATGAATGTGTCCTTTTTAAGATATGTCGTCTGAAGGCCCACAGTGTCCGTCTGCCCCTTATTAGTGGTATTCATTTTGATAATCTGGTCCAAGCATAGTATGGCTTCTTCAGTATATATAATTAGTATTTTTCCTTCTGCAATTAATAAGCTATTTGTGGGGAGACACGTTAAGATTGTGCAGATATCTGGATACTCATCAAACTTTACCCCTAGATATGGGTTATATTGATTCTTATTTGAAGCAGTCTTTTTTAAAGAAACCGGACCTGGCTCTGTACCCCAGGCCAGAATACAGTGGTGCAGTCATAGCTCACTGTTTCCTTGAACTCCTGGGCTCAAGCAATCCTCCTGCCTCAGCCTCCCAAGAAGCTAGGACTATAGCTGTGTGCCACCACACCCGGCTAATTTAAAAATTTTTTATAGTGAGGGGGTCTCTGCTGTGTTGCCTAGGCTGGTCTTGAACTCCTGGCCTCAAGCCATACTCCCACCTTGGCCTCCCAAAGTGCTGGGATTATAGGCCTGAGCCACTGCAGCTGGCCCTGAAGCAATCGTTAGTTTGTGTACCTGGCCCTGAAGCAGTCTTTACTTTGATAGTTGCAAAATTGTGATTTTTCCAGTTCTGTCACTCCCTCTACTTTAATAGTCAACATTCTGAGAAATAGCCTTCTCTTTCGTTATTCCTATGTACATATATCCTTATTTATGATCAGTTTGCATCACGGATTTCTATTTTATAATATGTGAATAATCTTTTATAGTACTTATTTATTTTGCTGCTCAAATT